GCCCGCCTCATAGAGGAGAATGGGTATATGAAGCAACTGAACAACAACTGCCGTAAAGCACCATGGCAGCATTTCTACATCAAAATATTTCAGGTTTTGGGTGAAATATTTTTATTTTGGGGTGTTTAATTTTTCAATGAAAAATCAACTTTTTTAGATAATATTTGTTTAATCAAACACTAATTTTTCTGTCAAAAAACAGATGATTGTTTTCAGCCAACCCTGCTAAGATTACCTTATAGTCTTTCCGATATTATTTTTCAAAATAAACCATTTTTGATGTGCCAGAGAGATGATAACAGCTGGGAGGATGGGTCCATTCAATTATGAATGAGACGGGAGCTGTTCAGTGCAACAACTTTTCTATTAAGTTATGCTCCGTACTATGCAAAAGATTGAGAATCCACTGATGTTTACTATTGATTTCAGTCAGCAATGTTCTTATAAACACCCCCTGATGACGTAAGAAGGAGTGAAGCTAATGTGGCTGTCTGGCAGATTGAAGTTATTTTTAAAGTTTCAGCCATATGACCTCTGGTTATGTGAGGTCACATGAGGTAGTGGAAGAGGAGATGGATCTGTGGTAGCAGGAGCCTGGACAGGTACTCCGACAGCCCCATGTGTGTAATGCATATGTGCACACACAAAAGTGCACAGCCAACTTAGGGGTGCTGAATATCATTCACCTGACTTAGAAGAAAGGATGCTAAACTATCACAGAATTTGTGTTAGACTAGTACAATGATTCTGGTTTCAGTGGAACTTGTGAGCGTGTTTCTGATGAGCACTCTCTCAATCTATTTGGAAAACCTGGTTGGGTGGAACTGAGGAAATGGTGACATAACTGAGCATCTGTCAATGGATTCCAAATGTGCTGTTTCCTGTACTCCTAGAACAATGAGGAAAGTGAGGGGAAATCCAAATAAACGTTGTGTGACAGGGAAAGGAGAGGAAGCCTGAAACAATACCCAGGACACCATCGAGAATGGAACTACCACTTCCCACAGTGTTCAGGGGCAAAAAATACTGGAGGGGGCTGTAGACTAGACTCTTCTAAAGTTGGCCAGCAGCCACATTATCTTAGGCTGTGATCTTATCATACGTTAGAACTAAGTCATGTTAAGCCTGTCAGTACTTAGATGGGAGACCTCAAAGCAAAAGCTACGATGGTGCAGGAAATGTAGTTGGTGATATAATAGGAAGTCACTCTTCCCTCTGATTGAGTGAAGTCACTGCCCTTATGCTGCCTTCTACTGCTGCAGGTGTTATCTTTTGGAAGAGATGTGAAACCAAGGACCAGATCACTAGTGGCTATTAAGGGTGTCCCTGGAGTAGGAATGTTAAGTCTGGTGTCTTGGCCAAATTCCACGTTATGTAATTCTAGTTTGCCTGAAGATGAGGGGATGGATCACTTGATGATTACCTGTCTCGTTCATTCCCTCTGGGGCACCTGGCATTGGCCACTGTCGGAAGACAAGATACTGGGCTAGATGGGCCTTTGGTCTGACCCAGTATGGCTGTTCTTATGCTTTAAGATTTCTTTTGATAAAAGTCTACTTCCTGTCCTAATGTGTTGGGTAGAGTTGATGTGTAGTTAAACACCTGCCACTTTCCATGTTTATGGGTACTGTAGGTAAAGTTGTTTGTAAAGCACTTTGGGATTACTGAGGGTGAAAGGGGCTAAACTAAATGTAAAAATATTAGTATTTAGTATTAGATATTTTCTGCCGATGGGGGTCCCACTCAGTACTCGGATCTTCCATCGCATGATTAGTAAAACCCATCTAGGGTTGGGTACGACTTTGAGACCTTGTTAGGACAGCACAGTCCTATGTATCTGAATGTGCACACCATGACTGGAAAAAACCAAATCCTAAAGTCAATGGGCATTTTGTCTGAGTAAAGATTGAATTAAGACAGAAGTTTCTGCCTGCCTGGCTGAATGTGGAAGTGAACCCTTTGACTGGATCTCAGTTTCTAGGCAGCTAATTGAAGCTATGTTCCTGGGAAGTTGGGAAAGGGGAGGGGAGGGCAGGAAAAGAAGCAATTTATCTATATTATTATTGCCACCCAAATAATGAAATGCGTTGGAAAACAGACTCAGTCTTTCAATGATTTATTTACCATGAAACAAACACCACTCATGATTAGGACTACGTTTTAGTCACAGGTATTTTAGGAACAGTCATGGACAGGTCACAGGCAGTAAACAAAAATTCATGGCCCGTGACCTGTTCATGACTTGTACTATATACCCCTGACTAAATCTTGGGAGTGCCGCAGATGCTTGTGGGGGGGCGAGGGTGCTTGGGGGGGAGCGGCCCGGGGGTGCTGTGGGTGCCTGGGGGGCCCACAGATGTTGGGGGGGCAGTCCGGGGGGCTCAGCAAATGCTGGGGGAGTGGTCTGGGGGGCACTGGGGGTGCTTGGGTGGGAGCAATCCAGTATCCCCACTTGTGCTGGGGGTGGGGAGGAGTTGGCAGGACTGGCAGGCTCCCTACCTGGCTTCTTGGAAGCGGTGACATGTCCCTCCCTAAGCTTGTAGCTCCGTGTGCTGCCAGTTCCGCAGCTCCCATTGGCCAGGAACTGCAGCCAGTGGGAAATGTGGGGTGGTGCCTGCGGGAGGAGGCAGCGCATGGAGCTAGGATCTGAGGGAGGAACATGTTGCCACTTCCAGGGAGGCCCCCCCCCTGCCCCAGGTAAGCACCACCCAGAGCCCTCACCCCCTCCCGTGCCCCACCCCACAGCCCTGAGCCCTCTCCCACACCCAAACGCCTCCTGCTGCTGTTGGAGGTGAGGGGGGCGGTGGCCCGAGACTGCCCCAGCAGTGGCCAGTGCAACTGGCCCAGGGGTTGCCTGAGATGCTCGGGCAGCCCCGGAGCCAGGCGCACTGGCCGCTGCAAAAGTCACGGAGGTCATGGAAAGTCACGGAATCCACGACTTCCATGACCTCTGTGACAAACTCGCAGCCTTACTCATGATGAATATTGAAAAGAAAGGGAGAAGCTGTGACCAGTCTGGCTGGTCTCTTCTAGCTGATCTTCCTGTGCTCTCTGGGCTGAATTGCATGTTGCTGTGGGTCCAGGGCTGTCCTTAGCTGGCCAGGAGTTAGTTGTGGGGTATTGCATTGCTAGAGCAATGTTAGAGATCACACAATACGTCTGCACTCACACCAAGATAAAACACTTTCGCTCACATGCAATCCACAGGGCCATTTTCATGCATTCAGAGACATGCGCAAACAGCACTCACGTACTCACACAAGTGGAGATGTGCACAGACTTGTACACCCATTATTTATATGGTATGGATATGCTGGACTGATGCTTGAGATCACATATGCATACAATACACCCGCCCTTCACTCCTCCCACACCAAATATACACAACACTGCTAGCACTGGGTCTTTATTTACAGTGTCTGGTAGCCAGAAAGGCAGCAGGGACCCAGCACTGGGGTATGGATGTGGTAGAATATCAGAGATCACACACATACAGAAATACATATACACTGACACAAAATAGCTTCATATTAATTTCATTGAATCAGCGTCGCATCAGAGTCATTACTCATGTGTGGCGATCATTCTCGGATGTAAGATGCGCTCAGTGACAACTGCTTGTGGTTTTTTAAAGTACATAAAACCAAGAACATGGGAGGGGCATAAAACAAGGACAAAACTTCAAACTTTGCTACCCTGGCTCGGCTTTTTTCCCCCCAAGAGTTTCCTCAGTGCTCCACACATTTAAATCCTCCTCTTTAAGTCATTTTTTCATCCCTGCACTGAGATTCTGAAGTTCCTCGTGTATAGCTCGTTCTGCATGTGGGACTGAAAATGTACCTAGACCTAAGCCTTTTTCCTACTAATCTAAAGCTAGCTTCCAAGTCCTCTCTCCTACCCCTATCTTAGATACCTATATGGCCCCCTCCACCACAATATGTAAGCACTTCACAATATGCAAAGTATTGAGTTCACAATACCCCCGGGGGATAAGGAAGTGCTATTGTCCCCATTTTACAGATGGGGAACGGAGGCACAGAGGGGACAAGTGACTTGCCCAAAGTCACACAAGAAGTCTGGGGCAGAGCAGGGTCTAAGTGCTAGGCTAGTGCCCTAACCACTGGACCACCCATCTCTTCTACATCACTCTTTCATGAGTACCAATATATATTCCAACCGCAGACTCCTCCACAGCACTTGCTAACAGTGTATTGCTGTCTCATGAGACCTGCCACCTTCACACTGATACCCCAAGACACCTAACTATTGATATCTCTACCTATCGAATCCCCTGCCACATCTTACAACTGGAACATCCTTTTTGCATGAGGAACTGTCACTCTCCTCTACATATTTCAAGAGGCGAGTCCTCCTCTTTGGGGATTTGTTCCCCCCTTCCACTTTTTCCCCCTCCCATCCCGAGAGCTGTACTTGGTTTCCTGCAATCTACATGTTTTGTGCCTATTTGAATTCAGACAATTCTCTTCCTTTTTGATAGGGTGTTGCGCTGGCTGGTGAGTCAATAGGAGACTTTCCATCAGATACTAGCACTGACTTGCTTTGCCCTGTGGAATGCTTCCCTCTGGGTTGGAAGCCATTCTTTTTAACATTCTTAAACATTTTTTCTTCTTTAAATACAATTCTAAAAGTTTAAAATAACTCTATACAAATAAATAGGAAAAAATATATCACAATTTCCACTTTGTCCCACAGCACGTGGCAAAGAAAATATCTCTTTAAAAGGGATAGAGTACTTTTTGGGGCATAGCTCCTGCTGAGAGATTATGTGTGCTGTACTGCCATCTAGTGGACATAGTTTGTCACATCTCTGGCTACTTTAGTAGGAAATTTGTGGGTGCTAGATATATCAATAGATCTCACTCCCTTTACCTCTATGAGAAGAAGAATTCACAGGTTATTTACAACCAGGGAGCAAGACCAGGCAAGGAGTCTTTTGATCTAACTCCAGAACCATTCCTCTCTGCCATCATGGAGCAGCACCAGATAGGAGCCAAGGAAATTTGGGCAGATTAGCCTTTAATCCAGCATTTACCCTACCGGTCTTCCACTAAATGTAGGCTCTGGAGTCGTTCCTGTCATTTACCCTACAGACTAGATCTCCATCATGACCTCAAATTTTAGTTCAGTGCTGTAGGGAGGTAAAAGCATCAACTCCCTTTTAGGGACATGTTTGCTGTCATATTTAAATCAGAACCTTGTAACTTGTTCTCAGCTGTGGGGATGGGTGCCACAAATACTTGTAAAAATAACAGTAATAAAAATAGTGAATAATACAGCATCTCTAACCACACTTTTAGTTTTGGCTGTTTCAGCTGGATGATCCCTGGGGTTTGACAGTGATCCTGGCACTTGAGCTGGGGTTTCTTGTGTTGGAGGAAAGTTCTGCTCTAGATTCTAAGAGTTCACAGACTTCATCCATTGCTCTGATGCAGGACTCAAGGTTTTCAGCCAGTTTCTGGATTTTCGCCTTTAGCACAGCTTGGCTCACCTTTGTGACCTCCCTTGTGTACTCTGGCACAAGAAAGTTGCGCGAACCGTAGAATACCATGAAGCAGATGGAATTGTACAGCGAGATGGAAGCGTTTTTCTCTGACTGGAGCAACAGGGGGTCCATTGGGCCCTGTCCACGGTGGAGGAATTCTAGGCAGCTCAGGATTTCCCTCATCTGGTTCTGACAGTTCACTGCGATCTCCTGCACCCTTCTCAGTTCCCTGGAGTTAGAGAGCACTAAGGAGAGATCGGAAGTGACATTGACAGCCCCTCCGGCAGAGGCTACGCCCAGGCCCACAGCAGAAGCCAGGAGAGATGCTCCTAAAGTGGCAGGGCTCAAGGAGAGCCCTACGATGGCTGTGATTGCTCCTACTGCACTCAGGGAACTCCCAGTGATGTTTGCAATCAAGGATCGCCTGCGCAGCTTGTTGATGTTTCGTGCAATCTCGCGAAGCTTCCTGATCTGGCCATGCAGCCTGCTTCTCTGATTCAGCAGCAGCATTTGGAAGTGGCGTGTAGGGTCCAGTGCTGGAGGAAAGGTTATAGCATTTCTCTCCATGGCCCTGTCAGGAAATACAAACAGATGGGCTTTACTCAGCCAGTCAGTCTTAGGAGTGTGTGTTTGAGGATTGGTTCAAGGCCCTGTCTGCTATTTCAAGGTAGTGCAGGTACTAAGGAGGTGAATCCCAGACACCTGTTCCTTGATGGAGATCCTATGGGATTTATCCTGGGTCCTTTCTGTTTAAAGGTGGTGAATACAGAGACTGATGAGGTGAAGTCTAGAGGGATAATCCCTAGGACATGGATTCTCAGTGGAGGTTAGGTTCCCCATGGGGAGTTGCAAACATGTTTCAGGAGGGTCCTGCATCCTTCATCTTTTTCTTTAAGGTTAGTTGGGAGTCAGATCCTGAAACATTTTTCTATTGTCACTGTATGAAAAATGTTGAGAACCATGTTTCTAGGGTGAATTTGAATGGGAAGATAGTAGAATAAATGATTAAACAATCAATTTGTAAGCACCTAGAGGATAATAAGGTGATAAGTAATAGCCAACATGGATTTGTTAAGAACAAATCAGGCAAAACCAATTTAATTTCCTACTTTGACATGGTTACTGGCCTAGTGGATGGGGGGAAGCTGTAGACATGATATATCTTGATTTTAGTAAAGCTTTTGATACAGTCCCACATGACAGTCTTCAAATATGTTAAGGACTGTAATAATAGGGTGACCAGACGTCCCGATTTTATCGGGACTGTCCCGATATTTGCTTGTTCATTTGCTTGAACATCGGTCGGGACGTGGGGCAAACAAGCAATTTTGCCCTCCACTCCTGCACACAGGCGGAGCTCGGAAGGGCTCGCACCCCCATCCCCCCGCCCCGACTCCGCCCCCTCCTTCCCCCATTGGATCCCTCCCCAAATCCCCGCCCTGGCCCCGCCTCTTCCCCAAGCATGCCGCATTCCTCCTCCCTCCCAGGCTTGCGCTGATCAGCTGTATGGCGGCGCAAGCGCTGGAGGGAGGGGGTGACATCAGCGTGCGTGGCGCGGCCATGAAGAAGGTAGGGCCAGGCCGGGGATTTGAGGAGGACAAATTGCTTGTTTGTCCAGCGTCCTGAGCTGCGTGAAGGTGGGAGAGGCCGCGGGGTGCCCAGCCGGGCCGCCAGTGCCACGCCCAGACCCCGCGCCTGAGGGGCAGAGCTGCTGCTACCGGCCCCCTCCCCTAGGGTGGCTGGCGGCCCCCGTTCCTCGAGGGCTCCTGTGTCCCCGGCCCCTTTGCCCAGCTGTTGCACGTGCCGTGCCCTGCCCCGAACCCCCCGGGGCCGCAGCACAGGGACGGGCCACGGGCGGGTCGGCGCTACAGGCTGTTCTTGTACGTGGGGACAGACTTGCCCCATGCACAGGGCAACTTGGTGGGGTCACAGCGGCCGCAGGCTGAGCACGCCCCAGCCACTCACTTCCTAATCTCGGGGTGCTCTGTGCTGCAGGGCAGAGCTGCCACCTGCCTGAAATGCTGCTGTCTGAGTGGGTGGGATTGCACCAGCTGGGCACCTTCCCCTACGGGGAGAGGTGGAGATGAGGCGAGATGGTGCGGGGGGCGGGGCCCTCCAGCGGCTTTTTTTTTTTTTTGCTCTGCCGTCCCCCCCTCTCCCCGACTCCCGATATTTCACCTTTGTCATCTGGTCACCCTATGTAATAAAGAGGATGGTAATTGATTATTTTCCAGGTCCACTGGAGGTAGGACAAGACCTAATGGACTTATTCTGCAGCAACGGTGATTGAGGGTAGATATTAGGAAAATATTTCTAATTATAAGGCTAGTTAAGTCCTGTAATAGGCTTCCAAGGGAGGTTGTGGAATCCCTATCATTGGAGGTTTTTAAGAACATGCTGGACAAATACCTTTCAGGGATAGTCTAGGTTTACTTGGTACTGACTCAGTGTGGGGGATTGGACTTGGTGACCTCTTGAGATCCCTTCCAGCCCAACATTTCTATGTTCTCTTTTCAGGCTGTGAGCATTGTGTGATCATTACTGTGCTACTGGTGTCCTGTACTTAGCTTAAGGGAAAAGGGAAACAATCTAATGATAATGCCTAGCTCTTTATAAAGCACTTTTCATAGTTGATCTCAAATCGCTTTGCAAAGTATCATTATCCCCATTTTACAGATAGGTAAACTGAGGCACAGAATGAAATGACTTGCCCAAGGTCACATAGCAGCAGAGCTGGGAATAGAACCAGGTCTCCTGAATCCCAGTGCAGTGGCCCCACTGCCTCCCTAGCTAAAGCAATTTTGCAAAGGAGCTACAAATATGTGTACACTGCAGCCAGCGATGTGATTGCAGCATGTGTAGCTATCCCTGAGCTAGCTTTAATCTAGCAATGGTGAGTACCAATGGCAGTGAAGTTGTGGCAGGATGTACTTCAGCACAAGCTGTACAAATCTGCCCACGATCCTGGGTATTACTTGGGCCGCTAGTCCGTGCTGAAGTCTATGCTGCCGCGCCTTCACTGCTATTGGTACTTGCACTAGCTAGATTAAAGCTTGCTTGGGTATGTCTACACTACCTGCAATCACACCTCACACCTACAGTGCAAGGGGTTCTCAGGACAAATTATTTGGTGGCCTCAGAGTGTGGCCCCCAACTCTTGCTGCTCTCGTGCTTTTCCCTAAAATACTTAATTAGCATTAGGAAAAACAAAGACATATGCACTTATACATATCATTGTAATGTATTTATTGCTAGCTAGCAAGTCTGCTGTGACAAGTGGCATTAACAAACATACAAGTATCACTTGTCAGAGCAGATTTACTCTGCCCCAAGAAGTCTGGGGACAAATTAAGCCCTGGCTGGTGGGTCGGGGGAGGCAGCAGGGGCCAGGGGCGATGCGGGGGGGGTGGGGGTTGGCCAGGGGAGGCAGCGGGGGGCGGAGCCTAAAGCCCTGTGGCTGGAGCCCGAAGCCTTGCGGCCAGAGCCTGCCTTCCCTGCCATGCCTGGGCTGAAGCCCAAATCCTGAGCCCCACCACCCCTGGGAAGGTGAGGAACTCTCCGGCTGCCCAACTCTTTCTGGAAGCCCCAGCAACCAAGGCTGTCTATCCAGGAGCACCAGGGATGGGGAGGGGGCACTGGTTTCCCTCTCCCCCTCCCCCAATCACAGCCCAGGAGGCTGTGGCCACAAGAAAAGCCCCTGGTGGCCACATGCAGCCATGGTGGCCGCATTTGAGAAACACTGGAGACAGACCCTTAGAGGTTGCTTCCTGTCTGATACAACTTCATGTCGAAAGACAGGCAGCCACTAGAGTGCCAGAGGGTGAAAGATTTCTATGGCAAGGATCCTAACCCGCCCCAACTCTATAAGACACAGGTAACCAAATCAACGCATTAACACTATTCTCAATCACCGTTCCTGTCCCCTAAACTGGTACAGATGACAAGCACTGAGCCAAACATTTGTGCAGAACATAATCTGATCTGATAATAATATATAAGAAATCAATGCTGGTAGCCCCTGAATCATTTGTGCTACTGATTTTCTTGCTGAGAAAATGAACATTTTTCTAAAAAGAAAACTGCAGTCTCACAGACACTACTAGTAAAATAATAATTTTAAATATATCCCCCTCCATTCCAGGCTTCCCTGGGGTCTCTCCCAATTTACAGGGAGAACAGAATCTCCAGCCGCTCTCTCCCTCCCCTGGTTTTCAGAAAAAAAGTTCCCTATGTATTTAATTATTTAAATAGTAGTAATAATAATAATATAATTAATAATAGAGAAATGTCTGAAACAGACCAAAAATGTTTCTGGACAGAATACTCTTTCCTAATCAATGGTGCTGAAGGGGTCCCGAGGAATAATATTTCCAACTTACCTTTAGTTTCCAGCCAATCTCACCAAGGACAAATTTTATGCTGTTTCTGGATGAACCCAATTTATAGTTCCCACGAACCAATTGCTGCAGTGGGAATGCTTTGCCTCATAGTGGGAGTTTGCCATTTCCTGCCCCCCTCGTCCAGAAGGATGTGACACACTGGAAAGTGACCTGGAGACAGTGCAGCACACATCATGTTCAGGAAATGATCCCGTCAAATGAACATTGTGTGTTCGCTTTTCCTGAAGTGCAGAAAAAAAAATCAGACTATTCCTGGCTCTGAATGAGAGCAGTCATCCTCCTAGGGGAATCACTGCCCTTCCTCCCCTTTAAATAGCTAGTGACTTTATCCAGTACTACACCGATTGGGATGAGTGCTAGCCAGTCAGCTTGCTGGATGAGTGAACCCTCATGTGCGTGTAACAAATAAGGAATAAATAAAATACACTTTCAACCAATCCGTTTATTTGCTAAGCCTAGTGTACTTTTAAAAACTGAACTCTGATGGAGATCCTAGTCCAGGGGTGGGCAAACTTTTTGGCCTGAGGGCCACATCGGGGTTGCGAAACTGTATGGAGGGCTGGGTAAGGAAGGCTGTGCCTCCCCAAACAGCGTGCCCCCCGCCCCCTATCCACCCCCTCCCACTTGCCGCCCCCTGACTGCCCCTCTCAGAACCCCTGACCCATCCAACCCCCCCTGCTCCTTGTCCCCTAACTGTCCCCTCCTGGAATCCCCACCCCTAACTGCCCCCCAGAGATCCTACCCCCTATCCAACTTCCCCCTGCTCCCTGTCCCCTGACCGCCCCGTCCCGGGACTCCCTGCCCCTAACCGCCCCCCAGGACCTCACCCCCTATGCAACCCCCCCTCCTGTCCCCTGACCGCCCCCTCCCGGGACCCTTCCCCAGCCCCTTTCGGAATGTGGCCCTGCGAACATGGGTGGAGGACTCAGGAGGAGCAGGGGCAGTCGCACAGCCGGAGAGAAGCGGCGGTTTCCCCTTCAAAGCACCGCTTCTCTCCGGCCGGCTGCACGGCCGCCTGGTGCTCCTCCTGAGTCCTCCGGCCGCGTTCCCCGCACGCCCACCTGCTCCCCTGCCCCTGCAGTGCAGCCCCTCTCCCCCATGGGGGGTGCGCCGGTGCTGAGCTGCCTGAGTGCCCGGCCCTGGGGCCCCCTGTTGTTGGGGGGCCCCGTGCCAGGGCACCCTGTGTTCCCTTGTAAATCTCCCCCTGAGCTGCGCCGCCCGGCTGGAGCCAGCGACGCCACCGCACTGCCGGCATGGCGAGCTGAGGCTGTGGGGGAGGGGGGACAGCAGGGGAGGGGCCGGAGCCAGCCGGGAGCTCAGGGGCCAAGCAGGATGGCCCCATGGGCCGGATGTGGCCCGCGGGCCGTAGTTTGCCCACCTCTGTCCTTGTCCCTGACTGGCTGGAGCACACACACGACATGAAAGAATCACAAGCCTACACCAGGGAAGCTGTCATTGGTGGCGAGCAATCGGTGTAGCTGCACCAGTGCTGACTCTTGAGTGTAGACGGGATCATGCAGAGGTTTGTAGTGACTGAACTAATAGAGGTTTATCCCTTAACCTGACTTTGTTCTGTTTACAGTCCTTACCTGTCGCGTCATATTGAATTGAGGCTGTACACTCTCAGGGTAGGGTCTGTATTTATATTTCCCTTTGTTAGGTGCCTAACATGGTATAGGACGTTCAAATAATTTGTGCCCAGAAAGAAGGGGTGCATTTGCTGGATAATTAGTCATGATGAATTAGTCACCCAGCTCTAGTCCTAACACACCCTCTAGCCTGCCTTTACACAAGAAACATTGGCAAAGTCCAGGGTGTGCCCAGAGCAGTGCATGTTCCAAGAGAGGGTAGCCTCAGTGGTATTCTTTGTATTATTGACAGAGTCAGTAACCAAACCCCAAGTGTAAGCTTAAAATCTTCTTGTAATAGCCAGCTATCTACCTAGCACACAGGATGTCCTTTCAGTTAGTAGGCAGGTGGTCTCTCACCAGAAGTGTTATAAATAAGCAGAGCGGAGGATGTGTTTGTTGGTCTGAAGGTTTGCATGGCACTGAGGATGGGAGGATGGATGTGGCTGAGGAGATGGTGGAGAAGGCAGAACAAGCATTAAACAGCTACAGGTGACCCCTGCTGATAGTGTGTGTGTGTGTGTGGGTGGGGGGGGGAGACGGAGTGAGGGCAGCGGCTTCAGCAGTGTTACTAAGTGTGCTCAGTCCATGTGAGCATGCTCAGTACAAGCCAAGCAGCAAACGGAGGGGGGAGGACGCGTCTCCTCTGGACTATCACCATGTATATAACAATGTGCTGTTAAGGACAAATATACTGAAAGTACTGACCTAGATATCTGTGACTAAATGAACCCCAGCATGTTTCATTTGTAGAGCTGATTGGATTCCAGCCCCCACCAATGGAAACATTTGACTTTTCAAAAATCTCAAGACTGAAAAAAAAAAATTTTGATTGGCAAGTTTTGACCAGCCCTGTGCATTTGGTTTGCAACCTCTCTTGCAGAACCTAAAACTTGATGAGGACTGGTGTACTGCTCTGAGCACAGGGCTAGGAACCAGGAATGTCTGAGTGTTAATTCTGACTCTGTTGCCGGGGCCAAGTCAAGTATCCTCTTGGACTCATGTGCCTCCTCTGTAAAATCGTAAGAATATTTATCAACATCACCCAGGTGTTGTGAAGATTCATTAATTAGTATTTGTCACATGCTTTGAAGATGAAAAATGCCAGGTAAGTGCCAAAAATGTTTTGGTGGGGAAGAGAATGTGCACAAATGCAGCTGTGAATGGAATGTTGTGTTGGGGCTTCAAATACGTCACCAACTTCTGGAGCTTTGACAGGCAAAAAAGGGTGCGTTTTTCCATTGTATTTGCTCAATTGAATTAGTGTAACACAACTAAAAACCCTCTAAAATTCTTGTACAGCTACATGAGGAAAATGGTTGAGCTGTTTAAAACATGCTAGCTAATATCTTTTCAAAACCCAGGTCTGATCTACACTACAAAAGTTTGCTGGTATAACTATACAGGTATAACCTGCCTAGCATAGGTGTAGTTTATACCAGCAAAAGAGAGCTTTTGCCAATATGGCTTATATCTGTTTGTCGAACAAAATATGCTATGCTGGTTAAATGACTTTTTTGCAGGTATAATTGCATCGGCGCAAGGGCTTTTGCTGGTATCAAAATGTCATAAAAATCCACACCTCTAACTGGCATTATTACACTGGCAAAAGTTTTACATGTCTAGCTGGGGCAAGTTGTAGTTTTTAACACATTAACACAGCTTGAGATGTGTTAACCTGCCTTTTAATAAGCATTATCAGGGTTTTCAGCTGTGGTGAGCTGACGTGATTGAACAAGCATGACTGGCAACACATTATCTTTGCCTATGAAGACAGGGCCTTCTAGCCGACAGGAGACTATTTTCCGTAAACCACGGAGGATGATTACAGCTCTAGTATCACCATCATCCCAATGGACAGTGAAGCAATTTCAGCTGATTTGTGGTTGATCTTGTCAGCAGCATTCCTCCCCGTGGGACTGTGAGCATGGAAAAAATGGCTGCTTTCACAACTCCTTGTGGCCTTGTCTAGGAAAAAAGGTGCTTTTTCAATCATTTGAGCCACCAGTTTTAACTGTGCCTATGTTGGTGCTAAGTGGGGTTTTCAGTTGAGCTAACTGGATTGAACCCCCCCCACACACTCTCTTTCCCTAGTGTAGACAAAGCCATAGAGGCCCAGCAGTAAAACACAGGGCAAGTAGCAGGGGGAGGTCGATTGGACAGTACCTTACATGGCCAGCTGTCCCCCTCCCCCAACTATAAATGAGGCAGAGAGAACGACAGATTATTGTTTTTTGCATGAGCCTGGCTGTAACACTCCCACTCTCCCTCACTCCTTTTGGTGGCCAGGTGGGAGCCAGAGGCAGCAATCTGTCAGAGACAAGCACAGAACCCTTAGGAGTAACTGACTGCTTCCTAGAGCCAGGAAGGATATTTTTGCTAGGGTGTTCCCCACCACAATTTAGTCTAGCGTGGAGGGTTCTTCCCCCCGCCCCCCAACAAGAATGCATGTTTTATGCCTTCCTGGGAGGACTGACCAGTTCAGTTATTCAAGGGATTTCACAGGAATTTTCCATCACTTTTTGTTCTCTGTCAAGCAGCCCTTGGAGGAGCTGCAGATCACTCGGTTAAGCTACGGTTTGGCGACTTGAGGGCTAGTCGTTTGGTATTTTTCTCTTGCAAGCAGCAGGGCAGAAGGTCATGGCTGTATGGGAAAGTGACACAGGACCAAGCAGCACCCCTCTGGTGCGGGGAGCCCCACCAAGCAGGATCTCCCACATCTGTATTACCTAGTTGTGTGCCAGTGCCAGGGATCATAGATTCATGAGGTTGTTAGCCTCACAGTGATGGGCTGCCCTGAATAGGAGGTCACATGTAGGCACTGGGAATTCAGCTAATAGAGCTGGTCACTGGGATATGATTGACAGACCAGCTATTCCCACCCCCATGACCTTTTGCACATCCATCCAGTTGGCTAGAGCTAAACTGTTACCTATAAAGGTCATTGCAAATCTTTGCACCACAAATCTGCATAGACTTTAGATACAAGATTGGCATTAACATGTGTGAGCATGGAACTAAGCTGTCTATAAGGGCTTTGCCATCTCTAATTTCTATCTTGTAAAAAAAAACACCCATAAATTTCTAGAGTTTTCCACTCTATTCCTTGTTCTGTTTTATTTCTTGTGCACACGTAGGAGAAATGAAACAAAGAATGTCAGAAGCCCTTTCATTCACATTACACTCCAGTTACAGTTTGGATGGCACAATCACATTTCCCGTACACTTATATGATAATGATTTCCAGTCAAAAATATTTCCCTTGGGAAATGAGTGGTCCAGGTAAACATTCTGGATAATGGAGGGTGATAAGACACGGTCCCACATATAAAGGTCACTTATTTCTCCCACAAAGCTTTGGGCCTTCTCAAAGCTGCCCCAGAATGTGTCCGGATCTTGCCCCAACATGACAATGCCCTGTGGTTGGATCCTATGCCCTGGTCTCAGCACTTTTCTTAAGCTCCTTTTACCATTTACCCAAAAGGCTGTGAGACCAGATTTGGATTCCCAGGTCACACACATGTGACTCCCAAAGGTGCTGAGTTTGGGGAGAGTGAAGTGCACTCCAGGACCACTCAGGTACAAACTAAAGGTGCCATTAAACTCTTGCCACACATTGAGTTCGTCATAGTACTTGGTGCGGTAGGAGAAAAGAATGATTTCCCGATTGGGCGGTAACTCTGAGGCCACTTTCATGCAAAGTGTGAATGCTCCAAGACTCAAGGGCTGTGCTGGAGACAGGACAACATAGCTAGTGTCTGTTTCTTCTGGGAAAATAAAGGCTTTGCCAAGGAGACCTAGGACAGAAATCATAGCTAGTTATAATCACACCTATCCCACAGCAACTGCAATTCTTCCATCACCTGACCCTCTTTGAGGAATGAATGGGTTTGATCAGAATAAGATCAGGAAAGAAGACAGAATGTGAGTAAGACAACATGTCCTCCACAAACATGTGTCCACCTTTCAAACTCAGTGTGTGATACCAGCTGAAGAGAAAAGGATTTAATTTTCAGGATGGGATTTCATTCATTCTCACTGTTTATCCGACTCTTGCAACAGTCTCCTCGGTTTGTTAGTGCAACAGAGAAGATTTTATGCTCTGATTTCAAATCCAGCCTCCACCAGGGTGACCATTCTTTACGTGTGTGGGTACACTGTCCCATCAAAGCGTTGGCAGATAAAGAGCCATCGTTAGCATTCTGAGCCTTATAGGAGTACATATATATGCTGGACTGGGAGGCAATACCATGTGGTGCTACATTTGGGACTGGAAAGAAAGACAGTTGGTTGTGAAATTACTACAGGTGCAGTACCAGGGAGACTAGTAGCTTCATCAAGGTAATCAGCCCAAGAACACATAAGAGTTAATGCCAAGAGATACAAAATGCAACTCTTTAATGGCAAAATAAGGAAACAGCCAAAGATCTACACATTTTATTGAAAGAAATACTCCCATGCCCACAGCTGCAAAATAAAGTAGATTAAACCAGTCAAGATCTAGCCTATCATAGTCATAAGGCAGAGGCCTACTTCAGCTATCTCCTGATCCTTATTTATCCGGTCTCTAATATTGAGGGACAGCTGGCAAATGCCATGCCACATGGTTACTGTCACATGCTCAGTACAAGCCAAGCAGCAAAACTGGGTGGGGGTGGCCGACCCTGCCCGCTCTCCTCTTTCCCCCCCCATGTGCCAGGCTCACCATGTAAACACTCTCTGATGGACTGGGCAGCATAATCCGACGCTGTCTGCCATGCCTGGTTGGTTTACTAATGGGTAAGGCTGCGAGTTTGTCACGGAGGTCATGGCTCCGTGACTTTCTGGGACCTCTGTGACTTCTGCAGCAGCCAGGTGATGTGACTGGCCAGGGGGCCGCCTGCGCCAGCTGCACCGACTATTGCTGGGGCAGTCTTGGGCCACCCCCTCCCCAGCAGCAGCAGGAGTTTCGGTGTGGGAGAGGACTCAGGGCTGGGGTTTGGGGCGCGGGAGGGGGTGGGGGCTCTGGGTGGTGCTTACCTTGGGCAGCTCCCCAGATGCAATGACATGTCCCTCCCTCAGCTCCTAGCTCCACGCGCTGCCTGCCCCGCAGCTCCCATTGGCTGGTTTCCATGTCCCTAGGAGCTGAGGAAGGGACATGTTGCCGCTTCCGGGGAGCTGCGAGGAGCCGGGTAGGAAGCCTGCCAGCCCCGCCAATCCCCCTCCAGCATCAGCAGGGACCCTGCCAGCACCAGCGGCGGTCCCGGGCTGCCCCCGCCAGAGCAGCTGTTGTGACCCCGGACTGCCCCCCCCCCCGCCCCCGGGGCACCCCCGGGCTGCCCCCCTGGCGCCTGTGGTGCCCCTTGGGCTCCCCCCCTACGAGCACCCACAGCACCCCCACGCTACCCCCTCCCCCAAGATTTAGTCAGGGGTATATGGTACAAGTCCTGGACAGGTCACAGGCTGTGAATTTTTGTTTACTGCCTGTGACCTCCATGACTTTTACTAAAAATACCCGTGACTATAACGAAGCCTTACTAATGAGTCTTGGCAGTCTCTCTGTGGCCATACAAGCTAGAAAGCAAACTGTTCAACCTGGCCAGGAACACGGGGTGAAATTCTGACCCTATTGAAGTGAATGGGAAGTTTGACATTGACTTCAATAGGGCTAGGATTTCAGCCAGGGTGAAGAG